GTTAACTTGTTTTTCACATTCATCCTCTATGTAGTCCGTAAATGTTTTCGTTGTTTGCGGTATCTCCGCTGCCTGCGATGTCTCCGCTGCCTACGGTATCTCCGCCGTCTGCGGTGTTTCCGCTGCCTGCGGTGTCTCCGCTGCCTGCGGTGTCTCCGCTGCCTGCAGTGTTTCCGCTGCCTGCGGTGTCTCCGCTGTCTGCGGTGTCTCTGCTGCCTGTAATATCTGATGTACTTCTGGTACAATGTTCCGAGTTCTATAGAAATTCACAAGTTCTGAAAAGCTTGGCATTCCTACGTTTTGTCTGCAACATAATGTAATTACATATATTCATTAATAATGTATAACATTTTGTGTGTGCAGTTTGTATGTGAAATATTTCTAATTATATTTTTTTTACTCATTTTCTTTCCTTTATGTTCTTACCTAACATTTTGTCTTTTGGAACGTAACACAGTTCTACCCTGCTTTTCTAGCAATAGATTTTCTGTTGGTATCGAACTTTTTTTCAATTTCTTGGTATTTTCATTATCATCGGTTTTTTTTTATTTGTCATTTTCACTTCGGAGCAGCTCTCTGTGAAATGCATGTCACACACCCTAGCTGTAAATCATAATGTTTTGAAACCGTGTGAGCTTCGGCGGACGCGGAGTAGCTCGCCGGAATCCAGGTTCGGTCGGTTGGGGGTATGTCAAATAAACCAAATGCTCGTTTATAACAAAATAATGAAACAGCGTTTATTGAGAAAGATGTTGATACGATTTGTTTCGAATGATCTGCTTCAATGCTCGTGTGTACATGTGAAGCGCGTGCGAAGCGAATTCGAAAGAACATATAAGTAGCGGTGCGATCGGTATGGTAACAACGGTGAAATAATTAGTGAAGCAACGGCGAAATGATTCGTTAAAGCGGCGGGAAATAATCGTACAAATATCGGTGAGATTGGTATAAGCAATTATTTAGGCGGGCGGCGAAATAATTATCAAAGCGGCGTAAAATAAATCTGGAGTATCGGCAACGGCGTAACAGTCATTTAAACGGACGGCGAGATACTCATTAAAGCGGCGTAAAATAAATCTGGAGTACCGGCAATGGTGAAACAATCGTTTAAGCAAACGGCGAAATAATTCGGTGAAGCGGCGTGAAA